TATATATATATATATATATATATATATATATATATATATATATATTATTTGTATGTATGTTACTCATATCCGTAGCTCAACATCCACCTATCATGTTGTCTTAATAAGTTTACATGTGTTTAAAGTGTGTGGGAGGGGTAGTTTAAACTATTAAAAAATGTTTATTTATATGGTCTTTCTATATCGCGGATTTTCACCTATCGCTGATGGGTCTGGAACGCATCTTCCGCGATAGGCGGGGGTTAGGGTTAGGGTTAGGTTTAGGGTTCACTCTATTTCATATCGGATGTCTTTCCTTCTCAGCAGTTATATACTTATGACCCAGATTAATAGCTTTAAGTATTTTCTCAATTACCTACGACTTTTACACAGTACTGCATCTAACCACATAAAATGAATCCAATCCCGAGTCTGTAATTAGCCTTTTCATCTTCTCAATAAGACCAGAGGAGGATAAGAATTTTGCTTAAGCATTGCAGTATCCCACAATGCATCTGGGGGTGTTTACTGCACTTATGACCCCTGGATGTACATACGGTGTTCATCATACTTTCATAAGTCAACTCATTGCCCTGCCTCCCCATCACCGAGCAGCCCACACAGCAGGCACTGCACCCTGGAGCAGAGGGCACGCTCTCCAAGATGGCCCTGCATGCAGCAGCTGCTGATCCGCTGAAACGCTCAGTAAGGCTCATGGAAAGCAAACAATAAAAACAGTGATAGCCGCTAACTGGCTGGCCTCGTCCGTCAGTGACGTATTGATTAACCATACAAAGTGCGCTAGTGGTCAAGTCAAAAAATACATAGTGTACTGGATGGCTGTTGCACATACTTGGGTGATTTTAGCGGAGGTTTTGAAATGGCTAAGCTGACACATTTTGACAGACATCACAATTTTAAACCAACATGAAGATCATTTAACATAATTTTCTTTCACTTCCTAAGACTTTGACACAGTACCGTGTGTGTGTGTGTGTGTGTGTGTGTGTTAATTCCCAAGCCTTTGTCACTTTGCCCACACACAGAGCTCCCCTCTCATACCTAGAACCTCCCCACACCCTGAGACGCGGCCCCAAGTCTCTCTGCTTGGCTCAGACACTCCCAGAGCTGGTTGGGGAGCAAGGCCCTCAGGGCATTAAACAGGCCATAGCCTGGTCCCCGGGGCCGCAGTGCAGGGACCGCCCCAGGGATGCAGGGCTGGGGTTGGGGTGAAGACAGGGCCTGTTTCAGGATCTCTGCGTCCGAAAACGCTGGCAGTGACATCCTGAGGGGAAAGACCCCAATCAGGCAAGACCATAAAGACAAACTCAGTCTATGGTCACTGTCGCCATGTTAGGCAGGTGCCCTGGTAAGTCAGAATATCTATAGGCTGGCAAAGTGAGAGATTACAGGGGTAAGATGATCACCGTTGGAGACATAAACTTATTAACAAATCATTTTAGGCAAGGAAGTCACATGATGAGCTTATGCCACCATTCAACGTTAAATGTCTGTGATGTGCAAGTCATCAGCATTTCTGCCTAAAACTCATCAAGCAAACGAGAAAGA